TAAAGAACTAATTGAGAAACTGGTATTTTTTTTAAATATTTTAGTCTTTAATAATTTTTAAATAAAATTTTTATTTAATTAAATGTTAAATTAAAATTATTCGCATGTATAATTAATAAATGAATAATTTCAAAAATAAAATATGTGAATAAATTAAAAATATATATATAAAATATAACGTGAAATAAAAATTAAAAAAAAAAAAGAAAATTCATAAAAATTGTTGTACGTACCTTTTATGTTGAATATTATGAGGTAAATTACAATTCATATTCTCACTCTCGGAAAAAAGTTTTTTTATTTCTTGACTTTTCTCGGTTTTACAGTAGTTCTGTACGTTATGAAACTTGTTTCATATATATAAGAACAAAGAAAATTCACAATCCATTATTTTTTGAATGTTCAATCATACATTCTCTTGCAGTCGCAACCTATATTAAAAATCTACAATATCTTTCATTTTATTTTTCGATTTGCACAAATTTTTTTTTTTTTTGCATTCTCAGAGAGAGATTGTCAAATAGTTGTTTATATTTCGAAAAAATTAAAAATTATTTAATTAACATCCAAATCATTTTCAAGTAATTTTTTATTTTCGAAAATTCTTTACGCATTTTTTAAATGTATTAATTTCGAAATTTATTAATTGACTCAAATTGATTAAATATTTTAAATCTATGTTATAACTATAATTATATTTGATCTTTTATTTTCATTATTTTTAACATTAATTTTTTTTTATTTATTTTCAAATCATATTTTCACTAATTTCTAATATTCTTTATAAAATTATATATAATTAATTATTATTTTATTTGAATTTAAAAACAAATTTTTTTCAAAATATTTTATTAGTGCCTTTTGTTATATGGATAACAATATTATTATTTTTTTTTTTAAATTACTTTTTGACGTCACATTTCAATTTATATATTTATTTGCTTGGTTATAAGCATTCTCGTTTATATTTTCATTCACATACTGTATTTATTTATTTATAAATTTGTGCATATGTGATTTATACAAAATTATATTTTAACAAAATATTTTTTAATGAATATAGTCAGACATCTACATTTAAGTACATTTAGAATTTCATAAATGTATTCGTGTATATATGTATTTTCATTTCGAACTCTCGGCTTTAAATTCTACAAATAATGTACGACTTATGTTCTTTTTCCTTTGCAGGAAATTACGAAATTGGTACATCATGTCAAAGAAACGGAATTTTTTTTTTTACGTGAAATAAAAAGGAAATTAAATTTCTGAAATAACTTTTTCAATGTAACTTCATAGAAATATCTTTAAATTGATTGAAAAATATTTGAACTTTTCCTAATATATATATTTCTACATATATTCACTGTTGTTTTGAAAATATTATATACAAATTTTTATTTTAAAACAATTTTTTCTTTTCCTTTTTATTTTCTCATACAAAAAAATGGTACCAGTTTGAAAATTTTATTTTAATTGAAAATAAAATTTTAAAGAATTTTAAATTCATGAATAATGACATTTTATCTAAATTTTATTTTATTTAATGAGATATATATCTTTATTAAAAGGCAAATTAAAATTAGAAATAATTTTATACTTTTTTTTTTTAATTCTTTGGAAGTCCTTGTGTTTGTTGTAAATCTTGTATTTGTTTATTATTAATAATTATCTAATTTACATAAATTTGGAAATTATTTTGAAAAATAAATTTTTTTAGCCCATTTACGAGTCTAAAATATAAATAAAAATAAATTATAATAATAAATAAATATTTTTTTTACAACAATTTATTTTAAACAGTTTTTTTTTCTAGATTTAACAATAACACTTAAATCTATGTGTTCCCACATTTGTGTGTGCATAATTATGTACAATGTACATTTAGGTATTTTATAAAATTTGTGGGCTCACGTGACGAGTGACATTTATTATGAAAAATGTTTCTACCATGCCCTATAAACACTTTTTTTTTTTTGTTCTTAAAATTGTTACATAACATTTACATATAATTGAGGATTTGTAAATTTATTTATACACAATTTCTCTTATTTTATTTTTGTATTGTATATTATATAATACTTAAATATAATTCTTTCGTGTTATTTTGTACAAGTAAAATTTTTAATATTTCGGCGGATTTAGGATTAGTATTGGCAGTACTTTTTTTTTAAAATAAAAATTCTTTTGTACCATCGAATTAATTAAATTTTAAATTTTATTAAATTTAAAATAATAAAATTAAGAGTTACTTTTTGATGTTTTGTTAATTATTAGATAAGTAATAGGAAGTAACACTGAGCTTCTATTTTTTTTTTTAATATTCAAAAACTTATGAATTTATAAATTAAGAAATAAATTTTTATTTATTTTTTGCATTATTATTATAAAAAGTATAGAATCTGATAATTTTGTCAATTGTTTGTTTGTTGTTAGAAAATCTCTCACCTATATACCAGAAATATGAAAATAGAGAAAATGGAATCTGTTTACTTGGTCATAACAATGAATTATTATAATTAGGGCAAAATTTATCATTTGTATGTAATTTGGGGTTTTCCTAATGTCATTTTGCTCCAACAAAATTTTACCGCAAATAGATGGAACCAATTATGAAAATGAAAAATTATAAAATTATTAAATAATTAAACAGAACATGAAATAATATTTAAAAATATCTAATTTTCACTTTTCGCTTTGGAATATTTACTCATTTATATATTTTTCAAATTAAAAATAGAAAATAGAAAAAAATTTTATAACACAACGAAAATTGAAAAAAAAATCATTATTTCAACTAATTATTGTTAATTAAATTAATATAAATATAATTTTATTATTTTTACTTTATTTGTGAAATTTTTTTTTATTAAAATAAAAGTTTATTTAGGATTTTAATTTTTACAAAGTCACTTCAAAAGTATTTCTTTAGAAAGCCAAGATATTTAAACAAGATTATACGTTTTGGTTGGAGGGAGTTTTACCTAAGAGGATTTATCACAGCGAGCTTTCCTTATTTTTTTTGGCACGTCTCTGCAAACCTTGTGAAACTTTAATAAAAATATTATTAAATCGCAGCTAATCTATAAATGAAAAAAAAAAAAATAATTTTATCAACATTTCCTGTTGAAAAAAAAATAAGCTGAATTTTACACCAATTTAATAAATAACTTTTCATTATAATTATACAATCAAATATTTTATCTAATTACAAGATGTTTTTAATTAATGGACGCTTTTAATTAAATTCCCTTCATTAAATGCCTTAATTAAATCATTATAATTAAGGATACCCATTAATTTTCCTTGATTAATATAATAATTCATTTAATTAATAGTTTTCTAAATTTCAATTTTACAATTATTATTATAATTTTATATTAATTCTTAATTTATTAGTTGAAATAATGAATTTTAGAAATAGAAAAAATAACATTTAACTAAAATTTAATTTCACAAAAAGTAATTGAAATTGAACTATATATATATATATATATGTTTATGGAAAAAGTATAAAATTGAATAAACAAAAATAATATGAAACACAGTCAATTTCAGGGAAAATAAGATTTGAAAAGAGATAATTTAACGGAATGAATATTTTAAAGTGAAATGAAACAATTTAACTGATTGACATTGAGAGAACAAAAAAAAAATAAATAAAAGAATCATATTGTTGGAAATCGCGTTGTTAGAATTTTAGCAAATTAAAGCTGAACAAGCTGTATTCAAATGCAGACAATTATTATCTTGCATCGCTATTTCATATACAATTTGATTGCTTCAATTAAGAGAAAACATGAATAGCAAAATCGCAGAATTCACTACTGCGAGGATATATTATTTATTTATTTTTTGCTATTTTTTTTTCTTTCATTTCAATTCAGATGCAAAAGAGAGAGAGAGAGAGATTCATTGATGCAGGAGACGTTAATTTTTCACACGTATGCCTTTGCAAATGGCATCAGTTGACACCTCACTCGACATATTTATTAATTAACTGTCTTTTTTTTTTTTTTTTTTAATTTAAAACTTTTTCTTCTGTTCTATTTCTCTGTCTTTCTCTCTTTTTTCTGCAATATTCCTGATAAAAATTCGATTCAAAGTTTAATGGACCAATAATGAAAAAGTAAAAGAAAAGCCTCAAGAACAAGCGGGTACATATAATGTCTGTGACTTATCGATTGCATTTTCATTCAATTTTCATTCCCTCTGACATCGTAAAATTGACGTTTGATTTTCACGCTTTATAAATACTTTTGTGGTTCTCCTTCTTTATAGACTTCATTCATTTCAGAAAATGAAGGCTATTTTTTTTTATTATATTTTTATAATAAGATTTTTCTCCTTCGTTAATAATTTTTATAATTAATATTCAATTCAAGCTATTAATTAATTAATAACTTTAAAAAATAAATTAATTTTGATTTAATGGTTATAAATAAATATATTCAGAAGTTCGATTCCCCCCACTGTAAAAAAATTTCTCTACAAGTTCTTGTAATATAATAATAATATTTTCAGATATTTTAAATAACATTTTTACTAATAATTAATCGATTAAATTAATAATAAGAATTTCGAAAAAACGAAAAGTTGAAAATATTTTTAAGGAATGAAAAAAAAAAAAGATTTAGGAAAGAAGTGAAAGGAAAAATAAAAAAGACACATTCTGACAATTGATGCGATTTATTTTGGTTTTTGTTTCAATAAATTATTTTATAAAAACTTTCAACATCTATACACATATTCGTGAAAAATGCCAATTTTTCCAATATATAAGTATTTTGTACAGTCGAGAGAATTAATTTTATATATATATATATATATAATATTATTATATATAGATAAATTAATTATAAAGGCTCGTTGCTACTTCCTTTGAAATATTTTTGAATATTTTTTTTCGAAAAAGGATAGTAATAATGAACAAGTAACATTTTTTTTTTGTAATTTTTTTATGCACTGACTAATCCTTGAATTCTCTCTCTTTTTATCAGTTTTTATTTTGATTTTTGTTTTTTTAGAGCACGAATATTATTTTCAATGACTTATTTTTCAGTTCTTTAGACGTAATTCGCGCGTCACGTCTCTCAATAATTTTAAGATTTACAATTAAGTACATCTTTATACAATTCGTGAAATTTAGAAGATTAGAAAAAACTACATAGGGAATATATAATTTTACGTTATTACTATATATATATTTTTTTAATTCACTAACTACTTCTAAATAATGTACATTTATATCAGTCGCACAACATTTCGTCATTCAAGAATCAATGGAAGCTTGAACTTTTTTTTTAACTTCAATTTTACTTGGTCTTCTTATTTACTTTTTTAAAAAAACTAAATTATATAATTTGAAAGTTTTTTTATTTATTTAACTATTTTTTTCGATTTTGAAATAAATATGTAAGAGAAAAATGGAAAAATTTTCGAATATATTTAATTAATATGTATTAATGTATATAAATTTTAATAAACTGAAAACTTTTTTCATTTCTCTTTCTCTCTCTCTCTCTCTATATGATTTATACATTTTTCATAAGCAAAAGCTTACATGACTCTTGTGTTACGAAGGTACTTAGAATTTATTTTTTTATATTAAGAGGGCTTAAAGGCATTATCAGTATTTTTTTGCCTTAAGTCCTCTTGAGGGTACATAGATTTGAAGGATGAAAGCTACAAACTTTTCGTTGAGATAGAAAGCAGACTTTTTTTTTTTTTTTTTTGAACAAACACATATATATAGTCGAGTCGACGACAACGAAAATTTTTTTCCCCATCCACATTAAAGTATTATTCTTTCATTTAAAAATAAAATTAATTTTTTTCCGTACAAGAAAAAGAAATAAAACATTTATGTGCAAATTTTTAAATAGATTTTTAATTAGATTTTCTAATGAATATTTTTCTCAAAAAAAAAAAAAAAACTAAATTTGTTTCAGAAAGGACATGAAGGAAAATTTGATGGGAAAAAAAAACTTGACAAATTTTCGTGTGGACAGATTGCATCGTCGAAGGCAACTATTTTCCTGACCTTGATGAAAAAAAAATGGTGAAATATTTTCTTTTGAGAAAATGACGCTTAAAGAAGAAAAGTGTGTGTGAGTGTGTATGCTCCGAGCAATGGAAAGAAGAAAAAAAAAAAAAACCAGCCAAGGTTCGTATTTATTTTTCTCTCTTCTTTTGTTCCAACTTTACAGTTATTGTTTAACTCCATTTATCGTGCCAATGTCATGCTGTAGTTTTCATTTAAAATTAAACTCACACATGCGGGTTTAATGTAAATTCTCCTAGACCCTCTTGTCTTCAACCATAATTTAATTTTCCCAAGACCTAAGAGGAAATATACATATTCATGCGATGAGAGATGACAAAATTTCTTTCTCTTTTTTTTCTCATTCTCCATTCACAAAACGTCATTAAAATTTAGAAAAATATAATTTTTTTTTTTTTGAAAAAAATTTAACAATAAATATATATATGTACTATAATTTTTACATTATTTTAATATAATATTAAAATTATATATTAATCATTTTATGATTTATTAAAATAAATTTGATATTTCTTGTCAAATTTATTTAATTATATAAATTTGGGAAAAAATTAAATTATTCGAAATTAAATTTCGAATTTGATATTTCACAAAAATTTTATCATTTTAAATTTTTATTACACGAATATATATATTTATTACAGAATGTAATGTGAAAAAATGAAAAAGAAATTTTGAAATTGTTATAAATTGAAAATTAAATAATTATATATGGTTAGAGATTTGTAGATATTTTAATTTTTGCAAAGAAATTCTGGATAGCATTCTAACGAGTGCCATTCGTGTCAGTTACCTACTTTTTTTTTTTGATGAAAAGAAATAATTATCCCTCCCCAGGAAGATGATGACTTTTAAAAAGAACTAAAAAAATTCGTTGAGTTACTATATTTGTGTAAAAAAAATGCTAATTAGAATCAGAAAATTTACAGATTTTCCTTTTTTTAGAAAAAAAAATTTTTTTTTAATAAAATGCCTTTTTAACAATTTTTAATCAGTGGTAAATAAAAATATGATTTTGACTTAATTTTAATGAAGAAAGAAGGAAAAAAAACACGTTGATATATTTTTTTTTAACTACTACACTAAACCTAATTTTGAGTTTTACATATAATGGCGAGTGCCCATTCTTCGTCCAACGCTCCTTCTGTGCCTGCACAGTAGCTTCTTGAAAGCGCTTCTAAATTCCGGTGAGAATATTGTGTAGATCACCGGATTCAGAGTAGAATTGAAATACCTGCAAATTCCCGTGGAAATAATGCAACTGTTTGAATTTATACCGTTGGTGATTCTGTAATTTATTGATCGACACTAATTTGAGTATTTCAATTAAACGGGAATATTCATTTTGTCGTCAAGTTATATCAAATTCCTGTTTAATATGTCGAAAATTAATATTCAACGCTAAATTTTGCCTAAAGTATTCAGAAAAAAATTCAATTCAATTTCTAAATAGAAAAAATTTTCTTCTGTTAAATACAGTTTGAGATTATAAAAAAATATTTTCTCTAAACAAAATTTTCATTGTTTCGTTAAGTTAAGAAAAAAAAAACATGAGAAATATTCTTTTAGTAAATAGTAGAGATTTTTTAATTTAGATGTCCCAGTTAAACAGGTTTTACTTGTATTTAAATAATTGAACCAAAAATCGGGAAAACAGAAATTAAAACAGTAAATAAATAAAATTAAAAAAGAATAATAAAATTAAATTAGGAAAAAGAAATAAAAGAAAATGAGTTGGAAAACTTACCCGAGCCATTGAAAAAAGGCTATTAGGTGGTCACTGATGTTACATGTCTTACACATTGGAAGTAAAATGGCTAAGACAAAAAATGGTAGCCAACAAACGACGAAAGCTCCGGTGATGATTGCTAGTGTTTTCGCTGCTTTTCTTTCGCGTTTCGATTCGGCGGCTATTTTTTTCCTACGAATTGTAACTGGTCGTGGTGATGCATCCGTCGGTGGATCTGGTTCCAAACCATTGTGATACGAAGTTTTTTCCGGTGACGTATTAGCTGAGCTTGCGGTCGTCAATACCGTGTTATTCGTCGTAGTGGTCGTTTCTGCAAGCAATGAGAAAAAGGAAAAATAAATTTTATCTCTCTCTCTTTTTTTTAACTCCAAAAAACTTGATAAAATATATTGGAAATAATTCTTAAAATAGTGGTTGAAAAATTTTTTTTTTTCCTAAATATATATTTTTAAAAAAATTCTGATTCTAATTGGCATATTCATTTTTAATTATAAGACAAAATGATTATTTCTCAAATTAATTCATTCCCTAGAGTGAAAAATAGTTCTTTTACTCCCTAGCGTTGAAAAGGATTATTTTTTACTCCTTAAAGAATACTTATTATTTTTATTATTATTATTATTATATATACAAAACTGATTTGCTTTTCTTGATAAAAAAAATTATATTTTTAATGAATTTTGCAAAACAATGACAATTGGCTTTTTGGGAGAAAAAGTTTAAAAATTTCAAGTCATTTAACTGTAATTTGTGGCTTTGAAAAGTGGCTCCCTTTTTTTTGTTTCACATGCAAAATTAGGTTGAATGGAACTGGACCCTTTTTGTTCTCGTCACGATTTAATTAATCTTGAAAGCATCTTAACTTTTTTCCTTTTTTTTTTGCCTACCCCTTTCCCTCTCTTCTTCAAGAGTACGATACTTTTGAAATTAAAGACTGGAAAATTTAACCTTTTTTTTTTTTTTGTTTAACGCGCCTTTTTTCTTTACAATCTACCGGAAATGACGAAGTGGCAACGTTTTCACTCTGTTAAGAAAGAAAAAGAAAAGTATATTACTATTCATTAAAAAAATAAAAAAAAAAAAATAAAGAGAAATTTTATTTTTATTTTGCAATTATTGACCTTTGAAAATTATGAAACATTAATTATTGACGCCTACACTTGAAATTCTTGGCAATATGATATTTCTGTTATTTATGAAAATCCAAACCACTGAGGGTCATTTTGACCTACTTCCTGTTTAGGATTAATAATTTAGTATAAATATATGTATATTATATATTTGTGTGTGTGTGTACTGAATTGAATTTCATTTGCGAAGAGCTTAATATGTACAGTACAATATGATCTTTGGTTTTGTGATCAAAAATTAATAACGATTTAACAAGAGTTGGATCATATATAAATTATCATGTTTGAAAAAAATGAGAAAATTTTTATTTTTACTACTCATATCGAAATTATAAAAATTTTAACCCTGTCTGACTGAAAATGTAGCTTTCTACTTATGCGTCTGACTTAAACTCACTTTAACTACTTACAGAATGCCTGACGGAAACTGATTTTTACTACTTAAAATTACAATTTAAACAGTTTAGACTTGAAACGATCATTTTACAAACGAAACTTAAATAAAAAATACATTTAAATAAAATAAATTAAATAATAAAAATAAATAAATTAAATAATAAAGTAAATAAATTAAAAAATAAATTTTTATATTTTTATAAATAAATTTTAAATATTTTTATTTTTATTAAAACAGAAATTTTTGTTATCAGTAGTTAAGATTAATTTTACTCAGTTATCTCATATAAATTCTTGTAATTTGTATAAATTAGTAAAATTCAGTAAATCTTTTGCTATTAGTAGTGAAAGAAAATTTTAGTCAGACTTTAAATTATTTTTTTATTATTATCAGTAATAAAAATAGTTATCAGCAGTGGAAATAAATTTTAATCAGACAAACTTTTCATAATTTTACCTATAATTTTTGTTACATAAAGTAATTGCTGTAATATGACAAAATGCTTAGCCATTGAGACGAATATTAATTAATAAATTGATTCAATTAATTATTGAATTCTTAAGATTAAATTGAAAACAACATATGAAGAGAGGGTTGAATCTCAGTGGACTTTGATAATAGCATTTCCCAAGAGTAAAATGCCACAGTTACGTTTACGCGTTGTACTTGCCAGTTATTGGATTAATAGGTTGCACTTTGAGTAGCTCTTACTCCCTATGCGCATGCATTGTATGTGTGTGTGCGTGTATGTGTGTGCAAATTGAATGTGCAATATTCTCAAGTTTATTAATCGCACTTCCTCTCACATTATAGGCACATGCTGTGCTCAACGTGACCGTTTTTCATCTACGTCGTGTTCAATTCTCATTTCTGAACGATAAAATAAACAGCATACTGCCTTCCCTCTAACACGCCTGCAGAAAAGTTTGTTATGCATATTAATTCCACCCAGATTCTTAACATATATATATATATATTGAATGAAAATTATTATTTTTAATTAAAATTTAATAATATTCATTATTATTATTAATTATTATTAATATAAATTATTAAAGATTAATAATAATTATTAATACTAAAAATTAGTAGAAATTTTCTTTGGCTTTTAGTAAAATATTACTATTTTAGTACACTGAAAAAAAAATTTATTTGATTCAAATACTCAATTACTTGAGTATTATTAAATAAATATTTATTTGAACCAAATAATTTTTATTTGAATTAAATAAATTCTATTTGAACCAATAATTTTTGTATTTGAAACAAATACCATTTATTTGACTCAAATAATAATTATTTGATACTAATAAATATTTATTTGATAATAGTCAAGTAATCGAGTATTTGAATCAAATAAATTTTTTTTTCAGTGTAACATTTATTTTTTCACTATAAAGCTTTGGTGAAAAATGACTATAAAATTAGTAGAAATTTTCACTAATTTTTTACTTTTTTTTAGAACATTTATATTTTTACTATATAAACACTGAGAAAAATGTTTAGTCAGAGCAACTAAAATATGGTTGGGCGAACAAATAAATTTTTTTGTTATTTAAGCAACCAAACTATTTGTTTGAGTCAACCAAAAAATTTGGTTGAGTGTTTTTTGTTGGCATAACAAAAAATGTTTGGTTAGCTCAACCAAATTTTTTTTTTAGGTCAACAAAAATGTTTGGTTGATCAAAGAAACAGTTTTTTTTTTGTAAAATTAAAAATTTTATTCTACCTTATTTCTTTTCTTTTTATTTTTTTTATTTTTTTTCATTATTTATTTATTATCAATTTAACATTTAATTTATATTTATGCAATTGAAATATGAGCTAAAAGCGAATCAAACTATTTGGTTATCGCAACCAAATTTTGGTTATGACAACAAACGATCATTTGGTTTTTTAGACTAAACTATTTTGTTGTGTTAAGCAAATTATTTTATTGTCGTAACCAAATTTTGGTTGGAATTTAAAAATGTTCAACCAAATAATTTTGTTGGCCTAACCAAATGTTTAACTCTGCGACTTTGTTTCAGCCAACCAAAATTTGGTTACACTAACCAAAATTGCCTAATCAAACAATTTTTGTTGCAAACACTAAATTTTTTTTCTCAGTGAAGTTTTAGTGAAAAATAAACTAAAAATTAGTAGAAATTTTTGCTAATTTTAATTAGTCAATGAATTTAATAAAGCTGATAAATTATTTTCTACTATATTTTGTTGTATATTTTTATAGTAAATATTTGTATATATATATATGTAAAGTATATTTTAGTTATATGATGTTAATTTGACTGTCTTACCGGATAATGTGGGCAATGGTCGACCGATAACAGCAACAACCGCAGCTGCAATTCCTCCGGAAGTTTGAGCTTGAGCCAACGCCCCTCCAACGGCATGTGTACCCCCTATCGGTCTGGGTGGATCACCCATTGACCTTGTTACACCTGTAACCCAACAAAAATAAAATGAAACTTAAAAAAAAAAAAATTAAATTACTTTAGGGATTTTTTTGCCAATCGAGAAAATTTACAAAAGAATGCAATTTGCGTCGTATCATTACATTAAATATTAATGCTTATTGTCAGGAGTTCCTCGTTTTCTGATATTGCTTTTCGTCTCGTGTACAAAATACATGCAATTCAATTTTTTTTTTTTTCATTCATTTTTCACGATACGAATTCTCTATTGGATATTGTTCGTTTTTATGAGCAGACATTTAATATTAATAATAACTGTATTTTGATATGTAAAGTGAATTTGCTTTTTCAATGAAAAAAACGGAATATTAGGGTGAAAAAGGAAACTTAATTTTCAAGTGGAAAATTAAATTACAAATAAAAAATCAAGATTAGATTTCACGAGAAATTGAATTCATTGCATGTTATGTAATTTTTCAATGAATTGGAAAAAAAAATTTATTTTAACCAAATAATCGTTTATTTGATTACTGTCAATTAATTTATTTGTATTAAATAATTATTATTTGATTAAATGGCAATTGTTTCAAATACAGAAAATTATTGATTTAAATAAAATTCATTTAATTACAAATAAAAATTATTTAGTCCAAGTAAATATGACAATAAAGTAAACCTATAATCGGTATTTTTTTTCAATGGATATAAAAATTATTTTCTCACCTTGAGCAGGTGGCTGTCCTGGTTTTCTACGAATGCGTTTTCGTGCTGTTTGAAATATTCTCCAGTAAAGCACGAGAATGACAAACAAGGGAAGATAAAATGATGATGCAGTTGCAAATATCTGAAATTTAAAATATACATCATCATAGAATATTTATTGCATTCAGATAAATTTTGTTCGCGAGAGTGACACAATTTATTATCTGATTCTGAATAATACGTATTATATTTTAATAAAAATATTTAATAAAAATATTTCATAAAAATATTTTTATAAAAATATTTTTATAAAAAATATTTTTTAAAATATTTTTATCAAAATATTTTACATTTATTAAAATAAGATGAATTCTCTGATATGAAGAATAGTTTTATTTTTGTGAAATTTTTTTTTCAAAAATTGGCAAACAATTTTGAAAATATATATATATACACACAGCTTTAGTACTTTATGTGCAACAAAATAAATTTTCTCATCTGGAAAATAACCGATAATTTATATTTTGCGAGCGTTTGCAATATATAATTTATTTATCGTCAATTCCTTAAAATCTATAAGGAAGGAAACTTAGCTGCGCGAGAAGTTGGAAAGGGCATCAAGAGAAAATTTATGATAGTCTATCTTTCACGATTATCTTGCCGTGTTTATGGCATCAGTATTAAATAGTAGGCGATTTCAGCTTACGGTTATAGGTGAATGCAGCTTGAAAATACGTTCATATTTTCAAAGTGGTATATTATATACATATATATATATATACGTTTAGCAGGTGCGCGTTCATCTGATTAATCGTGACTGATAACGAATGACGATGTGTTTGTAAAATTAACAATTCAAAAGGGTTACGTTAATCTGGAAGATACATTAACATATCAATATTGATGTGACAATATCTATCGCCCCTGGATTATATTTCATAATCCTCCGACCGATGAATTATCGCGTTTATAATATTACGATATATATCCTTATGGTTCTAAACTAATAACATTTAACGACGTTCTTTTGAGATAAAACGATAATTGAACAAAATAAATGGAAATTTAATTTACTACTGATATTTAGGTACAGAATTAATAATTAATATAATTATTTTTACATCAAAAAAATTTTTTTTACTCAATTTATTAAAATAAAAGATTTTTTTTTTTATTATAATAATTGTAAATTAAATTGGATATGGGGCATTCTATGAGAAATTTTCATTGAAAATTTTTTTTTGTCCGAAACATTTTTTTTTTTGAAATCTATATGAAAAATAAGGAAATACGTATTTTTTTATTTTTTTATTTGATGAAAATGAAGGAAGTTCCCTTATGAAAATTCCTTATAAGCAAATAATGTTAAAGCTGAAATGTTTTCAGTATAATGTTTTTTGTATAATATTTTCGCGATTATATAGGTAATTTATTATAAGAAATTCATTATAAATTTTTTTTTCTCAAATAATTATAAAAATATAATGATATGATAACTATATATAGTTTTGTAATTTTGTATTTTACTGATAACTATATATAGTTATCAGTAAAATACTAACTATATATAACTATATATAGTTATCAGTAAAATACAAAATTAATTAATTTCTGTAATTAAATTTTTATAATTTTAATTTTATATAATATTTTAATTTTTGCACGTGAAAAATTTTATTTTCTATAATTACATTTTCATAATTATAAAATTGTAATGATTTCATTACAGAGTCTCTAATAATTATATTTTTATAATTATTTGAGAAAAAAAAATTTATAATGAATTTCTTATAATAAATTACCTATATAATCGCGAAAATATTATACAAAAAACATTATACTGAAAACATTTCAGCTTTAACATTATTTTCTTATAAGGAATTTTCATAAGGGTTATGATTTTTTGAAATTTAACGTCAACGAAGAAAGTGTGTTTTTGGAACATTTTTTAATCTATTGTACTAATAAATTAAAAATTATGCTATATATATGAAATATGTTCATTTTTTCTCAAATTTTTCATATATGTGCTCAAAAATAACGTACCTAGAACAGAAACAACAAAAAAAATGAAATTAAACTTATAAAGTGATTTTTCTCAAAAGAGACACTTTCTATTTTTAATTTTTTTTTTTTTGCATTACAATCTCTGATAATTGAAGAATTTTTTCCCCTATCTGCGAAAGTGGTATTTTTAGTTTTTAAATTACTATTTACAATTTTTAAGCTTGACGCAACGATTTTTAGTATGTTTTTATGAAAATAAAAAAAAACAAATGAATGTTAATGGAAAAAGGTTATATTTGTATAGAAAAAATACTTAAATTCTGTGAGCCGTACTAAAAAAAATTATAAATAGTAATTTATAAACTAAAAATACCACTTTCGCAGATAGGGGAAAAAATTCTTCAATCATCAGAGATTGTAATGCAAAAAAAAAATTAAAAATCGAAAGTGTCTCTTTTGAGAAAACTCACTTTATAAGTTTAATTTCAACTTTTTTGTTGCTTCTGTTTATAGGTACGTTATTTTTGAGCACATATTTGAAAAATTTGAGAAAAAATGAACAAATTTCATATATAGCATAATTTTTAATTTATTAGTACAATAGATTAAAAAATGCTCCAAAAACACACTTTCTTCGTTGACGTTAAATTTCAAAAAATCATAACTTCCTTCATTTTCATCAAAAAAAAAAAATACGTATTTCCTTATTTTTCATATAGATTTCGAAAAAAAATTGTTTCGGACAAAAAAAATTCCGATGAAAATTTCCCATAGAATGCCCCATATGTAAAATATATAGAAACGATAATTAGAGTCGATTGGCATTGTTACATTTTGTTTTTTTTTTTTGCGTAAATTATCCCTATACAAGAGTTGTAACGACATTGTGTGGTTTTTTGGAGGACGATAATAAAAAAAATATATTATATTTCTTTTTAACGATATTCCCATTATATTGACTAACTCGATCCCAGTAACGAAAAAGTAGATATAATATACATTTTGTATATATGTAGGTATTATGTATATATAACGAGATTTCGTTATATATATATATATATTCGCGTGTATATCTCTTTCTCTCGAAATATGTAATAGAAGTTATCATGTGTATTTTACAAAGCACACGTGGTTAAAATGGAGATTCGGAAATGAACGAAGCTTGCGCGAGACTATATTAATTTCTTTTACCTCGATTCAATCGTTTGGAAATATGGAAATATCGTTTACTCTGGCTGATATTTCAATTTGGTTTATGATTTTCAACAAAAGAATTTCATTTAACGATTTTATGATTGAATACCTGTTCAATGATTCCTTTTTCTTGCTTCACTGAATATTTCTTGTTTCTTCTTGGCTTTTTTTTTACATAATTTTCTTATTTATTTTTAAAAAAAAAAAAGACTTTTTTTTATTGTTTTTTGCAGACAATTTTTGATTTAATGTTAAAAAAAAAAATCTTAGCGATAAATATTTGACCCAAATACCAATTTGAGAGAAATAAAATTTTTATTTGAAACAAATAATTTCTAAATATTCTTGTGTATGCCTCCTGATTTACTATATATATATAGTAAAAGTTGTGATACGATCAAAGAGGGAGTGTCCTTTCATGTGCTCTAATGCACAAAATAATTTTCCTATCGCTTATTATGCGGCATTAATGCTCTTATGGGTAGTACGCTTGGTCCATTAAATTCCATGCATTAGTTTACGAATTCCTTTTCAAGAGAAAAGACGTGAAATGATTAAAATCTTGTTATCTCTCAAAATCCCTCTGATTTGTTTTCATTTACTTTATATTTAAAAAAAAACACCAGGAACAATTTTTATAATTATATTATAATTATAAATTATTATTGATCTTTTATATAATTATTATAATTTTTTTTTAATTCTTTGAATAATTATTATTTTTTGTAATTCTTTGAATTATTTTTTTTTTTCTAATTCTTTGAATAATTATAAAGATTTCATTTAAGAAAAAAAAAATTCAATGAAATATAAAATAAGAAAAATTATTTGATTTTGAAAGAATGACAAAAAAAATGTATTTTCATTTTTGTCATTTATTTATTTTTTTTCCAACCAAAATTAAATCCTTTTTAAAGATTACCTGGTATCCAATATCCTGACTGACAACACATGATTTGTCATCGATTACTCTAGTTTCCCAATGCGGGTCTTTCCATCCAAGTAATGGAGCAATGCAAACGAGAAATGCTACCAACCAGACAACTGCTATCATTACGCCAATTCTTCTACCCGTTCTATGATGAATGTAGTCTATATTCGTGATCGCCCAATATCTGAAAATTGATAATTAATTCTTCTATTAAATTTCACATCAAGATTAATTTATTCATCAAAATATAATAATTCTAGTTTCGCTGATATTGAAAAAAATTGTAATAATATTTTTTGGTTTTAATTAATCGATTTTTTTGGCTTCAAATAAATAGTTGAATCAAATATTTTTTATTTTGAATTAAATATACTTATTTTATTTGAAATAAATATTTTTTTATTTCAACCAAATAAACTTCTTGTTCTGACAAATGAAATTTTCAATTAGCTTGAGGTGTTAAACAGATGGTGACGATTTTAATGTGTTTTGAATAGATAAACTTCATTGGCAATCATGATTAACAGCTCCACTAAATCTGGTTACGCTCAATTTGAATAACTGACGAGGCACTGCCTCGATGCCACACAGCGCAGACTATCGCGAAATTTTCCACTACCATTGTTCCTGCTTGATATCCCAATTTTGTTGACGTAAATTTAATATTCTTTCTTTTTTTTTTTTTTTTGAAAACGAATAATTCCATTTTATGTATAAAATACAATTTGGAAAATTTTTGTGTTTTAATTATTTTTTTATGAAATAATTTTTTTATTATTAATAACATAAAAATAATAATAATAATAGAGTAATATATAATGTAATTTTATTTATGTTTCAGATCTGACGAAAATAATTCTATTATCTACATCAATGCAGGGAAACGAAATTATGTAAGTAAATAACTTGTAACTAATATAATTCTTTCTTATTATAATATATTTAAAATTATATTCAAAATTTCATATATTGAAATATTTGACATAAATTATTGTTCTACAATAATTTGACAATAATACAGAGTTAAATTTCTGTGAAATATTTTTAATTTCAAATTAAATTAATATGTTCTTTTAATTGACACATTTTTTTTTTATTTGCAATACTACTCGAAGCATGTAATCATTTTTTTTTATTGTTTATATTTCGGGATTGATGTGATACTGTTATTTTTTTTTTATTTTTTATTTTGCCTTAACGCTTCAATAAAACAGTGAATTGTTCGAGATTAGTAAGTCGATAAATCGATGCTAACACGTTTGCTGGGGTCATTCTGATTACATGGTTCAACTGAAAGTGTTTACAGGTCAATGTAAAGTATATAATGCCATCAAAAGTATATTTGTTTCATATATATATATGAAAATAAACTCGTTTAACGAATTTTAAATAAAAATTTACATATCGTAATAGAATAAATTATTTTATAGTCAATTGAAAGAAATAGTTATTGAGAAAAAGAAAACAATTCTTAAATTTTATATTTTATTACATGTGTGTAATATTCCATTATTTTACATAATTTTACAATACAATTTTCTATTTCTTCATTTTTTTTATTGTCAGTAAAGGAACAAAAAAGATATTTTGTAGTAACAAAACTGAACTAAAAATTTTTTTCGTAGTTTTTTGAAATAGTTTTTTTTTTGTTTAAGAAATAATTTTTGTAGTAAACGTTCATAACTCTCATTACACAGGCACACAAAAAATAAAAAGCTGTTTGGCCGAGACACTACACTAGTCTATTTCCATGTATTTTTTCACGCTGAATCCGAATCCGAAGTCAGAATTATCAGATTGGCTTTTATTTTTGAGATAAACTCAAAAAACTGCTCAGAAAGAAAAATAAAATCAAAAAGTTAAAAAATTTTTGAATGTCACTGCCATAGTGTAATTTCATGTATTTTTTGTCGCTGAATCCGAATCCAAAGTCAGAATTGTTAGATTCGCTCAAATTTTTGAGATAATTGCAAAAAAACGCAAGTAACAAAAAACTCAAAATACTCAAAATCAGTTTTTTGGAATTATCTTCAAAATTTGAGCCAATCTGTCAATTCTGACTTCGAATTCGGATTCAGCGTGAAAAAATACATAAAAATGCACTATCGTAGTGTTTCGGCAAAAAAAAATTTCTTTGAGCTAAAATCGACAAAAACTGATAAAAATTCTGAATTAGGGGCACAGATAATTTTTTTTGACGAAACACTACGATAGTGCATTTTCATGTATTTTTTCACGCTGAATCCGAATTCGAAGTCAGAATTGACAGATTGGCTCAAATTTTGAAGATAATTCCAAAAAACTGATTTTGAGTATTTTGAGTTTTTTGTTACTTGCGTTTTTTTGCAATTATCTCAAAAATTTGAGCGAATCTAACAATTCTGACTTTGGATTCGGATTCAGCGACAAAAAATACATGAAATTACACTATGGCAGTGACATTCAAAAATTTTTTAACTTTTTGATTTTATTTTTCTTTCTGAGCAGTTTTTTGAGTTTATCTCAAAAATAAAAGCCAATCTGATAATTCTGACTTCGGATTCGGATTCAGCGTGAAAAAATACATGGAAATAGACTAGTGTAGTGTCTCGGCCAAACCACATTTTACTTTTTGTGTGCCTGTGTTATAGACTGAAAAAAAAAATTGACTCACACCTAGAGAAATGATTTATTTGTCTCAAAGCCAAATAAATATTTATTTGATTTAAATAAATTTCTATTGTATTTAAATAAAAAAATTTATTTACGCCAAATAAATAGGCTAGTTGACTTTGAGACAAATATACGTTTATTTAACTCAAATATATTATATTTGGTTCAAAATAAAACATTTCTCTGGGTGCAAATAATAATTATTTGATACAAATAAATATTTATTTGATAATAATTTGATATTTGAATATAATATTTGAATCAAATAAATTTTTTTTCAATCAGTCGAATTACAATCTATAGTGTCTAGTTATATTTTGTTTTTTTTTAACGCAAAGTAAATTAGTTACAATATGAGAAAAAAAAGAAGTTGAGGTGACAATTGCTAGTCGAGAGACTATATGAGACAGTTGGGTAATAGATTGTCCTCGAGTATTTATTGCTCCTGACTTTAATAGTTTAATAGAATGAGAATGTTGAAAGGTCTCGGGGTAAACTTGGCAAATAAGGGAAAATAGAACTTCGTTTGTCCATTGGAGACGTGCACACGAGATGTTAGGTTATTCTTGCAACACACGAAACAATGAAACTGCTGACGTTCTCACTTTCTCTCTCTCTCTTTCTATATATATATATATATATCTTATACGAATTCACCACCTTCATATTACAAATTTTCCTACAGCAGCTTTTTTCCCAAATCACCCTGTTATCAACACTCGAGAAAACTTAATTCACTTGAATTTAATCTCAAACTTGAAGATATCTAGATTTTTTCATAAAACATTTTTTTTACACTAATAAAAAAAGTAGTTTTAAAATTATTTTTTGAGAAGATAATTTATTACTATTATTATTATTATTATTATTATTATTATTATTATTATTATTATTATTATTATTATTATTATTTGTATTACTATTTTTTTTATTATTTTTATTAGGGTCAGCCGGGGTAAATCCGAACGCTAATTATTTCAGCTTAATTAAAATTTTAAAAAATAAGTTAGATATGGGAATTTTTACCTCAGATCCTCTTCAAGAGATTCTAAGTATTATCCCATTTTTGTTTGTTAATTAGCAACAGCATAAACAAAGATAACGAGTATTGCAAAAAAAGATTGAAAATCAAAGATGACACTCTTTCAGTATTTTGTCTCGTATTTGAAGAAAAAGAAGCTAAAAATTCATTTTATTATTTATAATTGTTTGTTATGAATACTAGAACAGAAACTATTTTTCATTTTTGCCTTCTGTAAAATTTTATTAATAATATCAGACCGTTCGTATTTACCCCGGAAAATTGGAAAACCGGGGTAAATCCAAACGGTATTTTCAATAATTTTTTCTTATATCAGAGCCACACAAAATTGTTTTTATTTGATTACACTATTATTTTAACATTATAAAAGTACATAAAAAAAAAGTTTTTCTTTCTATATGTATCCTCATTAGTAATTAATAAGCAGAAACTTAATCTCTGTTCTATCGAAGGAGTGTTCCACTTTTTTTTTGCCAAATGGTTTGTTGAAAAAAGTTTTTCAGAATCTTAATAAAATTTGGTATTCTAGGGTTTTTGGGGTCGCTGATTACCAATTTGAAGTCAGTTTTTCAAAATTCAAAATGGCGGATGAGAATTAAAAAATTCATTGGATTCGCTCGAAAATTGTTACTCGGGGGGTTTCAGGGTCGCTGATTACGAATTTGAAGTTAGCAAATTTCATCATTTTTAAAAATAAGTTTTAGGAAAGTCCGCCATTTGGAATTTAAAAAATTTGACTTTTATTTTTGTATTTACATTCAATGACTCCAAAATACTTTCCGTACCAAATTTTGCAAAAATCCGTTATGATTTGATAAAGTTATTGAAGGTTTTAATTGTGTAATGCATTTTAATTTTTAACCTGTTTGATTTTTGTATTTATATATGATGCATTATTACATAATAGGTTTATTATCGTATTTTTTTTGAGTTTTTATATAAGTTTAACAATTGCAATACTTTAAATTTATTTTCCCTAAGATTTTTCTGAAATACAGTGCGGCGTTCGTATTTACCCCGGTATTTTAGGAAAGTTCCAAAGTATCGAGGTAAATACGAACACTAAGTTTCCTGCAATTGTAATTTATCAAAAAATTTTTGCTACCCCATAAAATTGTTCTATGGAAGTAAAGTAACAACTTCATGCACCAGAATACCGGAAGTATTGTCTTTTAAAAGAAAAAAACTTATATGTTATTGTTGAAACTTACTAAAAGCGTTTGGATTTACCCCGTGGCTGACCCTATTCTTATTTCTTTTTTATTTGTATTACTATTAAATTTTCTATTTTTATTATTATTTCTTTTTTATTATTAAATTAAAATACTTATGGATTAGTGTCAATATAAATGTTCTCATTAATTATTAATTAAATCGCGATCCTGTTAAGGGAATAATAAACGATGAATTTTGAATGTGACTCATGGCTTTATACTTGATTGTTCACGAAGATATACCTGATGAAGAAAATCTATATATATGTATATATA